GAAGAGCGTGCAAAAAATACAGCTGCTAGTGAAGAGTTCAACTATGAAGTGATCTACTCAAGTCGTTCATTGTTTCGGATACTTTAGGACAGATACATTCACCGGACACAATTCTAACGCAGACGAGGGATCAGTATCAAGCGTTTTTCTTCCTCCTATCGCCAGGCCGTTATACTGTGATGCCGTCTGCTGATCTGAAAACGTCTTCCTGCATACTTTCCGTCCGAGTGAGCTGCCCATCTTGGCTTTTTCTTCCTCATAAATGGACGAATTGGTCCTGATTTGATGGGTTGTGGTTGATGGGGGCTTTCGAGGAAATGGATGGCATTCAAAAGGAATGACCTATGGGAGCGACATAGTACATGATTATTTAGAGACTTTTTAGGAAGTAGTGTCAAGGTGTTCTTTATATAATTACTACACTTATTACTATTTTACCTATTGGTTGATACGGTTTGACTTTCTGGAACTGTTTGTTGTTAAACCAGAGCACTACACAGATAACACAAATTATTTTATTTGTTAGCCCAGCCGGCAATCAATGCGCACATTTTGCATGGCTTTTTTTAGGCTCGAACCCTGATCACAATCAACGGTGGATTTGTGATTGGCGAGGGCCCAAATACGGAGAGGTCCGATTTCCCGCAGGGCTACACCTTCTACCGGGAGCCAGCCTCCGTTGTCGTCCATGGAAACTTTCTTCGCTATCCAGCCGTGCTGAAGAGTATCAATTTCATCGGAGAAGAAAATGTAAGCGGAAAATTTGCGGTTCGCATTGTGAGCATTGTAACCCAAGAAAGTACCTATCAAGTGTAAAACTCGAAGTCGCAACGCAACCGATTGTACAGTAGCGGTCAAAAGTGTTCGCCGGAACGGCTTTCCGTTCTCCTCTTTTTGTTTGCCAGAAAAAATCAATGGTGACCTCGGAAACTGTTCCTTTGAACAACTGACAATCGCGACGCAAGTGATAGTATCTGAAGCTCCCTCAAAGAGAGAAGGATAACCTGATCCGTGTTCTGCTCGTGCGGTCACGGGCGGATGCGTCGCGTGCTTGCTTTGTTCAAAATTGTTTGCTTTTTAGGGATAAGCATAGAAGTGATTCATTTTGTGTGGACTTTACGAATCCCAGTACAGTTTGATGGAACGACGTTGTTTTAGTTGTACAAAAAAAGTAAGAAAAGAATCCAAGTCTTGGAAAAGGAATCTGAGTTCTGATTTCCTGGACTACTATACAGAGTGAGGCACGGTATCACTTAAGAATAGATTTAAATTCGCTTCTTTCAGCGATGTACGTCACGGATTCTTTTTCAAAGGGTTAACTGCTGTATGAGTTACATTTTCGGAACGTTCTATTGTAAGAAGACCGGAAGTTACGTATACCAGGTTCGTCTGTTAATTATTTAGAGCACATTGCAGATCGTTTGAGAGGGTATTTTAAGGTGGAAGGTGTCTCTTTCCAAGGATACAGCTTCCGAAGACTCTTCCCTTTCAACTGCCTTGTGGGAGTTTATGTTAGGATATTTGTAGGCCATCATACTAGCGTTTAATAATCTAGCCGTCAGTGGGGGAATTCGTTTGCCAGACACAATGAAGGACCTAGATTGGACCTCAGTCGAGGTAAACCCCTCAGGTCGAAATACGGACGACTTTCTAGCCGTTACCGAGGCGTCTTCAATCAATCAATACGACTCTTTCTAAAAATTTCACCCCTTCACCTTTCGCCCCACTCGTTGGCTGGACGTTTTACCAGCCGGAACTTGGCTCTGGTCCATCATCTCACTGAGAACCATTCGCAACATTTCGTAGACCTTTTCTGCGCTTATTACGTTGCCTACATATGTGGTGTTTATTTTTTTTTGGGAAATCGGGTTTCATTTTTGAATTTCACGGCTTACAAGCAGTCTGACCACACTATGAAAACTTATAGATTCAGGTCTTTTAGAACAGAACACGATAAATAAAAATGGTTGGAATAACCTATGCAGCTCAGTTTTGAGTGTGTTTGTTTGCATGAAATTCCAAGAGTAGGTTTTTGCCCATTTTGGCCATCATATTCTACTCAAAAAACCACAGACGAATGAATACAGTAAGCATCAATAACTTTTGGTCCGATAAATTTTGACCCTACATATCAATAGCAAGACAGATCAGATGTGTACCCGATTTTAGCCTCTAAGCAGCGGCACAAAAAGAAGAAGTTCCTATATTTGCAGTGAATCCAGCTACAACAGCTCCGCCGCCGTCAACAACGGCGCCGGCTCCATTGGTCAGATGCAAGAACAATGGTGTCTTTATCAAGAACCTTGACGGTTCCACCTACTGCTACTGTACTGGACTGTTTAGTGGACCTGACTGCGGCACAAGACTTTGTACTAATGGAGGTAATGATCAATTTCAGACGAACTGTGAGAATTTCTGAAGCAAAAATTCATAATTATCTATGTGCATCTTTCAAAATTTTTGTTATCCTCTTGAGAAGATCTTTCCCAACTTTGAGTTGCTGCGGCTGTCTTCAGGATAGTTTCCAAAATTCCTTCTTTTAACAATTGCACGGAAACTTATGTCTGAAATACCAGCGACGGTCAGTGATAAAAGCATCTACTCCTGATGGTAGCAATACCGTGAAGCATTAAAAGAATAGGCCAGGATCAAAGTGAGGTGGATCTTGCACACGATTATGAAAGCATTGGTGCATAAGGGGCCTGCTGTAAAGAAAAAGGGTTTGGGGCGCTATCGCAAAATACGGGGCATTGTGTGGGAATGTGTTTAAAATCGCGTGGAAATCTGTCTTGTTGAATATTGGTCTAAGCTTTGTTCAACGGAGGCATCAGGGTGTGTGAGCAGTCTCCATTTTTCCCGTAGCTCTTACCTCCTCCCAAGTTCAGTCCTAGGGTATGCCCTTGCGATAACGTCCAAGTGGGAATGTGTGAGAAGGAGAAAAGGCTCTCCTGAGGGCCTAAATTATTCGGTAAATGCTGATAAATGGTGACTACTTTATCACCATCTCCAACCTCCTTAAGGCCCATGGTTCGGTCCGTGAAAGTTCTGAGATTGCTAAGATTATGTTTAATTTTGTTTTCGTCTTATCCTATTCTTTGCTTTACTTCTTCTGAATCCTTAACCTCATTCTACCAACTTCAGCCTTTGAACAAGTCATTATAATTATTATAATAATCATTACAGCAATAACTATAATTATATTACAGGCTCACTGGATGTGGCTAACAATAAGTGCCTCTGTACTGATGGCTTTGCGGGTGATTTCTGTGAAAACGGTAGGTAATTTTGGTGACTTACTTCCTAAGCGGTGATACTACTGAACGTATCAGTACTCATTGAATTTACGGAACTAATGAATGTTTTTAGTGCACTGCAATGACAACACCGGCTTAGGCTTCGACGCAGAACATCCCACACTTACGCTGGTGATTCGAACTCGTACCCAACTGGGCGATGTAATCACACAGGTGAGCTTAGTACGAAGATGTCCACAAGGAATTGGTGTTCTGCTATTGGTTCGTGGGGTATAGCCATCATTCGTAGGTACTTAAGGCATTCCACCACCGACCAGTTAGCACATGTGTCATGGGAGAAGCACTGATTTTGCGCGCGTAAAATCGATTTCTACCTCCTGTGCGCATGCACCTTATACTGTGTTTTGCGAGTGTTTTACCGTAACGGTGAAAAAAAACTTACCAGCTGTGATGTACTTGGTCGCAACCGTTTTCAAACCTTATCGATGTTTGGGTTGCTTCGATAGCCAAATTGATGCGAGCAGCCCACGTAACCGACAATCGATTTTTCGCGCGCCTAATCGATATGCATATTCTTTATGCTTGTGGCAAGACGTTACAGAAATTTAATTAGCCTAATCTATTAACTATTAAGGTATCGAATGCTGTTGCGGCCGTGATCAACGACCTCACGTTCGATCCCACTTATCTTCGACGTTTTGTGCTGGTGCTGTTCAATAATAATCGTATGTGAATACTTTCTTGTAACTGATGGATTCAACGAGCTGAAATTTCTGTTAAGGGATAACAACAACGCCGTACTCCGATCCCAATTCGCTATTGAGCGCTCTGAATGACGCTGCAAGGACGAGCGATTCGAACGGGACCTGTGTTGATATGGACTTCGTGGCGCTCACGTAAGATTACCTCTTCGAATTCCCTATATAGGTGTTGGAGACTTGTTACATGCAAGGCTGATGTAATGAAGCGGATGTCCAACCACGCGTGGTGGGGCTATATGTGGCCTTGGGCCCAGGCGCAATATTGTAGCCTCGCTGAGGGCAGGTGGAACTATAAATTGCAACCAGAAGCACGAATCGGCATAGTATAAAGCAAGGTACCTAAGAGAATAAGACGTCGTGCATTTACGGGCATTTACCAGTCCCTAAACGCCCTCACACCTTCGCTCACCCTCTGATCGGATTACCTTTCTGAGCCGGGTTAGCCAGAATCTTTTGAGGTAAAGCTTAGTCTTTGTATGAAAATGAAATCCAAAATAGTGAACTCATTGCTCTTGTAAACTTTACTCGCTCCAAAGCCTGGAATTGCAGTGCCTGCTCTATCACAGTATCTCACCTATAAGTCGCCAGTGTATGTGATCACGGACGCGCTGCCCAATGACGGCACACAAGTTGATGATGTCTACCATTTGGTCAACGATTGGAGATCTCCGGTATGCCATTTTTTGAGAATTGATTCCAGATATTGCCTTCGATTTATCCTTATTCTGAATCGCGATAACATTAAAATCAATGCTTTTTTCTCCAGATAAACTTGAAAATTAACTGTCCTGGGAGGGAAGGCAGGGCCACCTGGTTCAGATATGAGCAGAGGTTTGACTGCCAAACTCGTAGTATGTATGTAAGCGGTACCATTTACAACTACTACGCCACCTCCGCCAATACGAAAGTGCATAATTGTGCACAATGGCTATACTCTCACACCAGACCACGCCCTCTCAGCGGCTTCGAGAAACATGAAGACCTTGTCCCAAGCCGTTCAGTATGATACTTTCCCAGCCTCATCCCTTCCAGCTTATTCAACAGCATCGCTTTAGTATTTTTTTCAAAGGGCTGATGGTTCACTTGCATAAAAAAGTTAAGTGTCGACATGTAGCGCGGCCTGATGGAATCTGGACGTCACCTTCACGGATTGCTCTTGTGCGCTTGACGTGCAAGTGAATATACTCTCACCTAAAGGCAGTGATCGCAGTGGATGAAGGGTGATGGAGTTTTGATGACGCCGGTCAAACGTTGTTGCTAG